TTTTTCTACATACTATTTAGCAGTTTTCTTACTCAAAATTAAAGCATCACAATACTAGGCCTACAATAAAAATTAGTTTTAACACTTGCAATTAACTAAAATATGTATTGAAATGAAACGATATTCAACTAACAAGTATTTAATTCATTTCTGCAAAGAAAATCAAACATTTAAATGTCAAAGTTCAGTGTGATGGCTGGGCCTGCTTTTGAGAACAAAGTTTATCAAAACGTGGTGTAATATCAGAAATGGCCGCTCTAACTTCTTTAGCAATATTTAGCCTTGAACGATACTTTGACTTTATAGCTGCCAAAGCAGAAAAGCCTGTCTCGCATAAGTAGGTTGTTGCGAAAGGAATCAGGATCTTCAATGTTTTTTGACTCAAAGTTGGGAATTCCTTGCCAATATGTATCCAGAACTCCAACAAAGACAATTCCTTAAATTTACTTTTAATGAAGTATCACTAGTGAGATCGATGAGTTGGTCTTGCTCATTTAAATTCAGAGATGATAGCCCAGGAGCATTTTCGAATGGATTTTTAATCCAATTAAATTCATCAAAATCATTGCAAAAGTATTTCTCGAAATGAACTTTCAACATTATGAGATGATCAAGTAGGCAGTTTTTTATGTTCATTGGAAGCTCTGGATTATCAGTGTCTTGTATAATTGACACCAGAATAGGGAACATGTTTAGCATGTCACTTTCCATACTGTTTCTCCAGAGCTCTAATTTTCTCATGAATGCCTTCACTTTGTCATTCCAAGAAAGTACAGTTGCCTCATTCCCTTGAAGTGAAGTGCTGAGGATATTTAGTTCCTCAAATATATCTGTGAGGTATGCCATTTTCAATAAGAAATCTTTGTTGCTGAAACTGTTTGCCAGTGAGTGATTTTCCCCATTTAAAAAACAGAACACCTCATGCCTCAGCTTAAACATTCTCTTTAATACCTTGCCTCTTGAAAGTCATCGAGTATCACTAAAAAACAACAGCATTTTAAAAAGTCTAGACTTCAGAGGATTTCAGAGGATGCGGCTGCTGCCGAACTATCAACGCTGTCTCTGGTATACACGTTTTATAATTGCCGGTAAAGAGAATAATTATTAGTTATTTTGAAATTCATGTTAATTGAAGCCTGTACTCATCAAAAGTTTTTCTATAGGTATTTTTATTTTTTGTTACTTTTCTAATTGATTTAGGGCAGTTTTAATTTTTATCTGTAGGAAAGTATGCTGCACCCCCCTTTCAAGCCCTTCGCGCCCCCTGTGGGTCGCGCCCCACAGTTTGAGAACCACTGCCTTATACCATTTCATGTCTTTCAATAGCTATTTTTTTTTTTAATTCCTGTAGATCATCAAGTTCGCACTAACGAATATTTGAGGATGAATATAATGTTAACATGCCAGTATACAAAATACTTAGGATTACTAACTTGTCAGTGAAGCAGAATAATAAAATATAATGTCAATATAACCAATAAGTTCTGTTTATCAAGAACTGGGTTTTATTTCTTTCAAGGGTTTTCCCACCCTTGTGATTGGATTGTGATTTAAAATACATAAGATGTCACCTACACAAAATATAACTTCGAACTCAGTAATCTTATTATCCTCTTGTCAACCCATTGTCATTAATTTTGTATTGTAATAAGAGATCGGACAAGGCACAGTAGAAAAGTTAAATTTTCTGAAGGGCAAAAATTTTGAATTTAAAATAATACACACATGAGAATGTGATTATCGGTACAAATCCTAGCTCATGACAGACTTTTTTGGGCATCTGGTAGTTTTCTTTGCTCATTCATGAAAATGACTTTATGTAGCTTAAATATTGGTAAATTTCTTTCCAGTTTTTAAATTCATGTCTAAATCCATCCCATTCACATCTGACGGTAAATAAATCTCTATGAATGATGTAATACCATTAAAGATCTATCACAAAATTAACAACTGCTGTAAAAATATATTTAACGTTAATTTGGGTAAACATACAAAACATAAGGAAAAAAATTTTCAGGTTTACAGATTTGAGAAATGGCAGTCTCACTTGTGTTACATTGAATTATGTACAGAGAGAAATGTGAACTAACCTGTGTTGGTAATACTATTAACGCGACACATATCATAATGACCATGTATAGTTGAGATGGCCAGATGTCGGGTACAAAGTCACCATACCCCACCGTGGAGAAGGTCACGACCACGTAGTATGTGGCCTGGAACAGGTTCAGATGCCTGTGACCTGCTCGCTGGAAGTGTTGGATGCCACATACACTGCAACAATAACAAAATGATTTTAAACCATTACATTATAAACAATTGTAAAATGAGTATCAGTACATATAAAACTAAGAACTACCCACAAATAGTAACTTAAATGATCTGGAGTTTAAATTTTCATAAAAGGGTAATATTGTTTAAATAATTAATCGTGGGCTGGAATAGCTCAGTCAATATAGCAGTTAGGCTATAGGCCAAATACCTAAGAAATCAGGGCTCAATACCCTCTACAGCAGATTTTTTTGTCCTATGCAGAATATCCACACTGGTTTTGGGGCCCACCTAGCTTACTATCAAATAGGTAACAGTGGCTTTTCCAAGTGACAAAGCAGCAGAAACATGAAACCTAACACTAACCTCCATCTAATGTTGAGCTTTAACATATATGGATCAATTCCTCCACTTCCCCTACATCTTCATTATAAGGGAAACAATTAAGCACAGGAATAATATTACTTAATTTTACTGTACTCTATTTTAAAACTTAAACAATTTATTTGAATACTGTAATGTTTCTAGTATAGCTTCAGTTTTCTGAAACGGAATAAAATATATATGTGGGAACATCCCACGTACTAACACGCGGTTTCACCGGTCTAACAGACAGCACTCATTCCTAGTCAATATCACATTTCCGCACCTTCAGAGTCAGAGTCAGAGTCACGTTGCAACTGACGGTCAGTCAGTCTGTCTGTCTTGGTGTCGAGCACCAGAAGTTACTGTCTTGTCTATGTGTAGCGCCCTCTCTGACGAGAGGTCGGGTCTGTCATTTGTTAGTCAGTCTGTATTACTAAGTCCACTGTCTGTATTTACACATATTTACAATACACGCTTATTTCTTATTTAAATGTACAATATATACACGGCCTCTGCCAGTCCAGGCTAGGTACAGCAGATTATGCCCTTATATATATAATTTCCGCACCTTGCTGCCACCACTCGTATTTATACAGCACTCGATGTCCAGCCCACCTGTAGATCATCAAGTTCGCTAGCCAATCAGCGCTCACAATCACAACTGCAAGTTTAAGCTCCGTCCAGCAAGCATGGTATAAAAGCTAAGCCCAAAGCTCGCAATCATCAGTGATCACATTCAGTTCAGAGCGATCAGTCATCAGAGTCATCAGCTATGAGCCAAAAACAGCAGCCGCAACTTTCCAGAAACCGCGCCCTGCTACCAGACAGCTAATGTAGCTACCGCAGCTCTCCAGCGTCCGCGCTCTGCTACTATGCAGCTAACGTAGCTGCCGCAATTCTCCAGCAACCTCACTCTGCGACCAGGCAGCGAACGTAGTTGCCGCAACTCTCCAGCAACCGCGCTCTGTGACCAGGCAGCTAACGTAGTTGCCGCAACTCTAAAGCAACCTCACTCTGCGACCAGGCAGCGAACGTAGTTGCCGCAACTCTCCAGCAACCTCGCTCTGTGACCAGGCAGCTAACGTAGTTGCCGCAACTCTCCAGCAATCGCGCCGTAGGCAGCTGTTCCTACCGGCGCACGCAGCACCACATCACCGGCCAGACAGACCAGCTGAACGGCCCTAAAGACTCGATCTACTAAGAAAGAGCAAATTCTACCAACGCACTCACGGTGGAACAAACATCCCTTTTCAGGACCAGCCAACTTTTGAACATTCCACATAGCTTCGCAGCTATTCTGCACATTAAATTTATACAATTTAATACGTGTATATACAATTGTTACAGCTTTTCGTGGTTGTCTTTTTGAACATCGACAAACCCACATTGGTGACCCCGACTCAGCATGGACGCCGCAGACAGTTCGTCAGCAGAAGTATCCAGAGTGACCCTGCGGCACCCGCCGTTCTGGCCCGAGCGACCAGCCGTGTGGTTCGCCCAGGCCGAGGCGCAATTCACATTAGCCGGTATTAGCTGCGAGCGCATCAAGTTCTGCCACGTGATCTCGCAGCTGGACCACTGGTACGCCACAGAGGTGGAGGATATCACCTCTCCGCCCGAATGAGACCCCTACAGCTTACTGAGGATCGAGCTTGTGAGGCGGCTATCCCCATCGACGGAGCAGCGCACCCGGCAGCTCCTCACGGTCGAGGAAATTGGCGACACGAGCTGAGCTCGTGTACGGCGAACCCTTAAGAATCCCCGGCGAGCTACTAACTCCAGCTACCGACCCCGCGGATCCAGCGCACCTCATCACAGAGCTCCGCCAGCACATGGCCCGCCTCCGACCAGTCCCAGCAGGACGCCACGCCTCCCCAGCTACTTTCGTGCACAGTGACCTCAAGAAGTGCACCCGCGTCTTCCTTCGGCAGGACTCAACACGCCGGACATTGGAACCCCCCTACAGCGGCCCCTACCAGGTCCTTTCACGGAGAGAGAAGACGCTGCAACTCGTCGTGCACGGAAGGCACGTCACTGTATCAGCCAACAGGGTCAAACCGGCCTACATCCTACAAGAGACAGACCGAGGGAACAGCATCAACCCACCAACCGCAGCGACCCCGACCGTAGGACCACCTACCATGCCAACACAGTTCCCTACAAGGACTACACATCCATTTCCCGCTCGCCTGAACATATGAGCATCAATTTTCGCGAGGGTGGGAGTGATGTGGGAACATCCCACATACGCGGTTTCGCCAGTCTAACAGACAGCACTCACTCCTAGTCAATATCACATTGCCGCACGTTGCTGCCACCACTCGTATTTATACGGCACTCGATGTCCAGCCCGCCTGTAGATCATCATCTGCGCTAGCCAATCAGCTCACACAATCGCAACTGCGAGCTTAGGGCTCCGCTTTTATACCATGCTTGCTGGGCGGAGCTTAAATATATACGTCTCATGTTGTAATAATTTCCACTTATCTGTCTTTTCATTTGCCTTTCTAATAAATTTTTGAAATTGTAAAGAGACTTTATGGACACTCTGTATATTACTTAACAATGAAACTATGGCATGTGATTGAGAGAACAGATATTTATTTCGAATAAACGAATAACAAATTCATTCTTATGGGATTGTCTCTTGATTTTATTAATTATTCTTTTACATTTAATTTCATATTGTGATTAATCTTCTGGCCTTCTGGTTTACAGCATGATACAGAAAAGAGAAAGTAAATTTCTGCTCGGATTACTTCATGCGACACTGTGCTCTCATACCGTGGTGTTTCATTCACTAGAACCACTGAATTGAGAGTGACACTGTGCTTCAGACTTGATTAACTTGGCAAGGGGATTTGAATATTTAATGAAGGATGGCGTTCCTCTACTCCGAATGCAAGTAGCAGGATTTAGGGAGGTGATTGCTTCAATATTTTACTCACATATGCCAAGCAGTGTGATGAATTTCAACAATGTAACATTTCAATTAAAATACATCTGCTTGCTCTGATAAATGAAAGAAATCCAGCACCATAATTAAAAACAGATCCTTCTTTTCATTGGTTAATTCATTATAGCTGTAAGGGTAGGACGAGGTGGAGTTCTTTGGTAATGCAGGCCCAAATGGGCCTACTGTACAATCATTTATTATACAGACACACAAGACTTCACCTACAGAAGAAAATGACAGACAGCAAGGCTACTATATGTGTGACTGAAAGACCAAGTTTCATGAAGCCAACCAAAAAGATTTTCTCTAATCATACTTGTAGGATTGTCGATGCTCAAAAAGACAACCACGAAAAGCTGTAACAATTGTATATACACGTATTAAATTGTATAAATTTAATGTGCAGAATAGCTGCGAAGCTATGTGGAATGTTCAAAAGTTGGCTGGTCCTGAAAAGGGAAGTTTGTTCCACCGTGAGTGCGTTGGTAGAATTTGCTCTTTCTTAGTAGATCGAGTCTTTAGGGCCGTTCAGCTGGTCTGTCTGGCCGGTGATGTGGTGCTACGTGCGCCGGTAGGAACAGCTGCCTACGGCGCGATTGCTGAATAGTGGTGACAACCACGTTAGCTGCTTGGTCACAGAGCGAGGTTGCTGGAGAGTTGCGGCAACTATGTTAGCTGCCTGGTCGCAGAGTGAGGTTGCTGGAGAATTGCGGCAGCTACGTTAGCTGCCTAGTAGCAGAGCGCGGTTGCTGGAGAGCTGCGGTAGCTACGTTAGCTCTCTGGTAGCAGGGCGCGGTCGCTGGAGAGTTGCGGCAGCTGTCTTCGGCCGCAGCAACGTGCGGCAATGTGATATTGACTAGGAGTGAGTGCTGTCAGTTAGACCGGCGAAACCGCGTGTTAGTATGTGGGATGTTTCCACATACTCAACATTTATTGAGGTAAAAGAACAAACAGAGACTTTGATAAATATATATTTTACAGTAGTCATGGGTAAGAGATATTTTTCTTCTCCACAGCATCCAGAGTGGTTCTGGGGCCCATCGATATCATATCCAATGGGTACTGGGCGCTCTTTCCCAGGCAGTAAAGTGGCTGCAGCATGAAACTGAACACACAACTCCTCCGTGTGCCAAGTTGAGAATATGTGGAGTTATACATCCACTTCTTCCCATATCTTTCAGGCATGGTAATCCATAAATACAGGGCAATTTTACCTTTACCCTCATTGGCTGATATTCTGGATTATAATATAATATCGGAGAATGTACTGTTAGATAAAAAGTATTAATATGTAATCCATATTTAATATTTTTCACATCTGTTGTATTATTTTCAGATCATAAACAGTAAAAGTGAAGTTGCCCTACGCTTTATTATGCATCCCATCATGAAGATGAATAGGAGATTGAAGGTATAGCTCCATGCATTCTTTCTATAAACTGGTTATTTAATGACACAATATCACCAAATATCAAACGTTTAAAATATTAATTACGAAAAAATAGTCTTCCAGTGACCTACCAAAGTACATCTAGGTGTTTATATTGGGTTCAAAGTATATATTTGATTTATGCAATCTGTACAGACTACATTACAAGTATTTACAGGATTTCGGCAACTGCTTTTGATGGGATGTGACAACATGATCTTTCATTATAACAAGATGGAGGGATGACAATATAATTCCACTTACCTTGTAAAGACTAGGCACAATAAGGTAGCTGATAGTATCATCAGTTGTTGAGATAATGCTGACTGGGATTTCTGCATTGCGCGGTGCAGATCGTTCTGGAAAGAGCAATGAAAGAGAAAACGCACTTTCTTGAAAGTAAATTATATTAGCTGTAGCAACGATTCAATAAGGAGGCTCTCCATTGTTGTGAAACAGCAGGGAGAAGTGCACAGCGATCAATGCAGGAAGTAGAGCTGCCCAGAAGAAATATATATCATATCTATTTGATCTCAAAAAACTAATTTCAAAAAGGCTATCTCATACCACTGTATTTTAATAAAATAATTCAGATGGTTTGTACATTGCCATATAATTAACATGTTTTAAACTAACTTGAAATAAAACGAAAATATGATACTTCTCTCTTGAAACTTTATTTTTTAACTCATATCCAAGTGTTTGGTTACACTTGACCCTCGCTTAATGATCTGGTCATGGATACCCCACACCCTGGACAGAGGGCAGTATGCTATGAAATGGGGGAGGGTTTAGCACTCTGTTTTGTGAATGAAAGTTTCTTTATTTAAACTGTATTCAGCGATAAATTTTCTTCTCCGTGATAAGTGAGTTGGTACAGCAATATGTTACAGGCTGGATGGCCAAGGACAAGGAGTTTATTTCTTGTTAGGGGCAATAGATTCCTTTTTTCACACAATCCAGATTGGATCTGGCGCTCACCCAGCCTCCTGTCCATGTGTTCATTCATTTGGATAAAGTGGACAAGGTGAAAGGGTGAGCGTACACCAAGAAAATTGGCAACCACAACGCAACCGCAAATTCCGAGAAACGTCGATGACTTCAAGCAGGCAACTAGTTTCCAGATTAGCAGGCACACATTGAGGAACATTATGTTTGATTACTTGCTCACATCATCTTAAGTGGGTATGTTCGTCCGACGCAATGCAAATTGTATTTTTTAAAATCGTGCACTTACCTTCTGCAATGGAAAGCAATAATACTGATCCTGTCATAATAGTGGGTGTTTGACAACCAATGAGAAGGCGTGAGAAGAGAGGTCGAAGACCATAAGGAAAATATTGGGATGTTAATTAATTTGTTTCAATTATGGTTAATTTATTTTAATCGGGAAATATCGCGTTCACACGCGATACGGAATTTTGACATACAGTTCAAAAATTTTAGCAAGATAGGAGATACTGATGATGGCCGTATACAGACGACCCATGTAATGTGGAAGAAGGGAGATTATATAATAAGTTCCATTTAAGATGGAAATATATGTGAATTAATGATATAGTAATGCAACAAGCTGGTTAAATACAATATTGGAAAAGAAAATATTGAGTGCATCCGGTCTTCTGTGAAAATTTAAACTTAGGCTCTTATATTATTTCGAAAGAACTTAACCTAGAGCCAGACCCCTTCGTCTCAGGAGAAATTCTTTCGTCATATATACCAGGCTCTTGCTCAGTTAACTGCACAAAAACAAAATTAGCACTTGCGTCAACCTTTCGTGCCATCTTAAGAAACAAATGAATTACTGACGCGCGTTATAGAACAGCTGAAACTAAGAAACCATGTGGCAACGTAATTGTGAGAAGACTGGCATGATCCTTTCGTTGAAATTTGAGTTTCTCAGTTTTTCCGCGAGTTGCACTGCCGTTTCCTCAATTTGAGCTGCTCCATTCAGTAACATGCGTTCAATTCAAGTTGATAACAGTTCTCGAAAATTGCGGTTGCGTTTCCGTTGCCAGTTTCTTTGGTGTGCCCTCGACCTAATTCTGACCATTCACCTCTATACAGTGTTGAGGTTAGGAATACATGGGTTACACCTCCACTCCCCCATGTATCTTCCTGGAATAATGAAAGGTGAGGTAATATAAAGCTGTCCCTGTGTTTAATTAATTAAGCAAAATGTCATGACATATGGGGGTGGAGGTAGAGCTCCACCATAATTGACCTCAGAACTAGATGGAGGTGAGTGTTAAGCTTAACGTCCCGGCCGCTATACCACCTGGGAAATCGCTACCAGTACTCATAAGATAGGAAGCAGGATGGCCTCAGAGCAGGTCTGGAAGCTATGGAGAAGAGAAAAATTTTGCCTTGCCAAAAATTAAACCCGGGACTTCTAGTCCGTAAGCCGACGTGGTGCTTAATTAAAAAATCACGGGGATGACTGAAGTGGCTTCACATTAATTTTCATATCTAGGAACAATTTACATTTGAGATTTCTCTCTCTCTCTCTCTCTCTCTCTCTCTATATATATATATATATATACAGGGTGTCCCAGGAGGAATGTGCCAGACTTCGGAAGGGCGTTCCTTACGTTAAAGTATGCCGATATAACCCAAAACACCTATGTCCAAAGTTGAGAGGTTACGGAGATATTGGCCAGAGAAGTGTGAAATTTTGACAGGTGTTTCACACTTGTTGATGACCAAATACATATTAAAGCTGGCAGGAATATGTGGTTTCTGTAACGTTAATAATGTACGTAACATCAAACTAACTTGTAAGTGACATGAAGCCATTAAATTGAACTACAAAAAAACTCGCACGCCATGTCATACGTGTCCTTAGGGTTCCAAGCACTATACATGACACATGAATGGCAAGCACTGACGTAACATGGTTGACTGCGCATTCTGGTATAAGCCAACTACATAACTGTACTAAAATACAGTACCTGCTTTATAGTAATTGTTCTAAGTGTCCTCCGCCAGCTGAAATGCAGTTTTCGACACGCATCATGAGGGATTGGGTGGCAGAAGAAATGTTGCCTGGATGGTGAAGTAAGTGTTCTGCCGCTGCAAAAATACGATCCCGCAGTGCTTCTCGTGAATCGACCTTAGTTTCGTAGACTAACGTCTTCATGTGGCCCCAGAGGTAATAATCTAGAGGCGTAAGATCTGGCGACCTCGGTGGCCATGCAACGGGCCCACCACGACCTAACCAGCGGTTATCATCTAAGGATTCATTTAAGTAGTGTCTCACCTGCTGAGTGTAATGTGGGGGAGCCCCATCATGTTGGAAGTACATTTGGCTCCTTATCGCTAACGGGATGTCTTCCAACCAACATGGTAACTCATTCCTCAGGAAGGCTTCATACGTGTTTCCAGTTGAATTTTTGTGAAACACAAAAGGTCCGATCAACCTGTTCCCAAGGACACCACACCATACATTCACAGAAAATCTCTTTTGGAATTTCTTTACCATTATCTCATGTGGATTATTATGGGACCACGTATGCACATTTCGTAAATTATTTACACCGTTCAGGATAAAAGACGCCTCATCACTGAATAAAATGACGCTTAACAGTTCGGGATGAGCTTTTATCCAGTGGCACAAATCCATACGCTGTGCATGGTCGCCTGGTTCCAGATGTTGTACCCTTTGATCATGGTAAGGCTACAACTTTTCATCATGTAAAGTTCGCCATACCTGCATACGTGATCGCCGATGCGACAGGCCATTCTAAGAGTGGACAGACGCGGACCTCTCTGAACCACCTCAAGAACGTTCTCTCGTGTGTTTATCATTCGCACATCCTCCCTTTCAGAGTGCACAGAAACACTCGGAAGAGAACCAGTATCACGCAATGTCTGGTGAATTCGCGTAAATACACTTCGACATGTAATCCTTCGATCGGGAAAACGCCTTTGGTATTCTTCAACAGCAGCACGTGCATTTCCACCGCAAAATGCACACACAAAATGCATATCACAATATTCCACGTGTGAAAACACAAAAGGCATTTCAGCAACTTCGTACAATTAACCTACCACCCATTCACGACCCGGCCACAACGTATACTGAAGGGAGTTTACGGCTAGTGTGAATCACCACACTTAAGGACAAACATAGATAAGACGTCTCAGCTGACAGGTATAGTGCGTGGACCCGCCAGAAGATCACACGTTTCTCGGGCCATTATCTCCGTAACCGTTCAACTTTGGACATAGGTGTTTTGGGTTATATCGGCATACTTAACATAAGGAACGCCCTCCCGAAGTTTGGCACATTCCTCGTGGGACACCTTGTGTGTGTATATATATAGATATATATAGTAATGTGATGATGAAATGAAAGCTCTGAAATTATGCAGCTTCCGGTTACCATAGCAACAAATCGTGAATTATTTACAGCTAACACGCTGCGTGGACGTAAATTATGTAGTGGGTTACGAACTAGCAGGCAGTCTTTTGTTTCAGTGTATCGTGTATATTATGTACGTATTTATAATACTCTGATGTAGATATGTAAAGTGTAGTATACTATATAAAGAAGGCAGCTTACAACTGACTGTTTATGCATGTTATCCGTGGGCGATAACAGTAAACTTCGGTCTTGCTGTACGATATCACTGGATTACATGTTGGACTGGAATGGAATATGAGAGAAAGTGGGGGAAGTTAATGCTATTGAAGCTTACATAACAAATTATGTGATTTTCCACTGAAGTCTCAACGGGTGTTACACTACTTCAGTTTTAACTTTGTTATATAATGTAACATTTTCTGAAGAATTTTAAAGAAAATTATGCAATGAATTCCATCATTTGGGAATAAACCATACATGGAATTGCAGCGAACGTGATTTCTTAGGAGTCAATGTTTGGAAATCTTATGAAATATTGCACAATGACTGAGTTTACAATTACAGTGATTTTGTTCAGGGGAAACAGGAACAGTACTAGTATATAATAAATATAAATATCTAAGGGTCAACGTGATTAAAGGATGAAAATACTTATTTTATTTTTGGGTCACAGTTGTTCTGAATCTGCACATTGTGCTCTCAGCTTTCGGTCTGTTGCCCATAATTAATGAACTGATTACAGCCAGCCAAGAGAAATGTAGTACAGGGACAGATCATTAACATGTCAACGTATTATACAAAAAAAAAATATTGTTTGCAATTCAAAAACTACAAAACATGGCGTCAGTGAAAACTTGTTATAACCGATAAATTTAAAATATGCAGAAATACTACTCATGAAGCATATAAAGCATGGGTATTTTATACTTACGAACATATTCTCGAGTGAATGCTTTGCGAGCCAGCAATTTAAGAATACAGGAATAAATAAATTTCTCATTGGAGGCCACAATAGCTGAAACAGAAAAATAGAACCATTACATAAGCTAATGAGTGTATCACGGAATATAACGAAATGACGATTAATTATTCAGTGATTAGAAGTATTCCGTGGTTCAGGGTATGTGAATACTCTACCTAGGAACTCAGTAGATAAGTATAGATTTTTCAATTCCTGTCCATCTGAAGATGTAAATAGAACCAGTCTTCGAACACTGACGTTTCTAGGAAGATGGGAAATCCCCAAAACAATGGTCTCGTAAGATTACGTAAAATTCGAGAGCGAAAAATCGAATTGCTTTTAGAATCAGTATTCTATCAGTCACAGAAATTATAACTCAGTGCAAAGGTATGCACATAGTTTCTCATATACAATTGACCATGACTATGTTATTCTGGAAACGGTATCGATTGTTGCACTGCAGACGACTATCGATTACTGAATCTCGAACAACAATGAAATCCATCTTACCAGTGGAGCAGGTTTCGACGAAGTTAACATTTCACTTTAGGACCCCTAGTGAGCGCAGAGTTAATTTTCTGAAGCTACAACTTATTACGTTTTATTTGAAATGGTATACATAATTTAACACTTAGTTAGTTAGTTAGTTAGTAATTGGAGAGGGTGGGTTTCCCCATGCACTTAGACCAGTATTGGTCCATTGTGCTTCCCTCCATGATATTCTACCAGTCTCTATACCCTACCGATAAAT